ACCACATACAAACAAATTATTTCCAAGTAACTTAATAACATATAGTATAATAACACAATATATACACCATATCTCATTTTTTCGTATATAGTTAATTACTATTCTATCCATACGAAAGAGTTAATCGACAAATCAAAACTTTTAATACTTTATTGATAAACTCAGAATTATAAGGATTTTTGTGTCATATGATGACTGTTGTGATACCATATTGTTTTACCAATGTCATATGATGATTTTTTTTTATTCATTTTTTTCTTGTTTTTAAGGTGTATGCAGTACTCATACCATTAAATTACCTGTATCAATCAGCACCAACAATATTGATTTTTGCTTCATCATATATGTTGTTATGTTATCAGTAATCATATAGTACATATCTGATGAAAGGATTATGTATGAAATGATAATTATTCTTACCTTAAACAACTCCCACACTTGCACCATTTTGTGTTCTGGGAACAACTCATACGTGAAGTAATCACCATCATAAACCCTCTTCCATAGGGTCGTAATCAATCTGGGGACTTCAACATCTAAGAATGTACCTTTATGCGAAATTTGTATAAATGGTCTCTCATCTGGTCTTTTTGCAGCCTTTTTCGGTTTGTTTGGACCTCTTCCCTTCTGTTTCTAGCTAGAGGATGCGACTGCTACATGAAAAGAACCCTGTGGACTAATAGATTGAGTATGCCCCACGTTCATTTCTGGGGTAACATCACGTGCAAGATCTACAACATCGTGACGTCCTCGTCTCCCTGATGTGGTGCGACTCCGCGCGAAGTTAATGGGCCCGCCTGACATCCTGCAAAATATATGGTCACATAAAGAAGGTAAGTACTAATGTCACCAAATAAATACATGTCCAGTTTATAAATTTTCTTTTTATAAGCATTTACAACAGCATAAATAATGTCAATGAAACAAATAATGAAGAAACAATCATTAGTCATTCATAAGTATATTTGTTAATTAGGAAGTCTCGTACACAAGATTTTTTTTTTTTTAATGACAACCAAATTTTAAAACTATTACTTTACATGACTTTCAATTATTTAATGACTATTCAGTCTCGCTACTATCGCCACCAGCATCGCTTCTTGTTTCATATTCATCATTTCCTTCACTCGCATTTCCATTTAAGTCAACCATTGTTGCTCCTTCTGCATGCAAATCCACACATTCTGTGGATGCCAAATTGGAATTATGCTTTAATGATTGTGTGGATGGTGGCTCCTCATCTTGGAATATTTCTCCTATATCAAGTGAAGTTGAACAAGTGTCAATCAAATGTCTAGCACGTATTTTGCATGCGGCGAACCATCCATTAGTTGCTCGATTGTCTGATGGGTAACTAGTGTAATACACTTGCGTTGATTGACACACAAGGCAAAATGACTCGCCAGTCGACAGTCGATACTGTGGGTTGACCTCAACAATGTCGTAAACTTGGTTAATGTGTGTTCCCTTACGTGTATCGAACCAATCACAATTGAATAAGACAATTGTCTGTATTTGTGCATGTGGTCCATAATACAATAGTTCAATGACTTCGTTAAGGATGCCATAATAATCAGTCTCTACATTATCAGATATGGTTGTTCCTTTCACACATACACCACAGTTATATGTTTGTCTTTCACTACTGACTTTTTGTGTCATAAATCTAAAACCATTGACATAATAACCTCTGTAGACATTGACTGTCCATGATGGGCCCAGTGCAAGGTATTGCAAAACCTCATTCCCTTCATGATGGCCATTTAACACCTACCAAATTTATATGTTCATGTTATTAGTCAAATTTATAGTATTTTTGTTAAAAAACTCAATTAGGTAATATATTGTATATTACCTAATTATATATATATAGGTATATAATAATATTTGAAACAACATAACATGATGAAGAATATTGTTTACCCTATCTTTGAACCACGTAACAAAACTTCTATTGCGTGCTTTCTGTGGATCAGAAGGGGTCATATATACACCAACTTCTCGATCAAAGATGCTAAAATATCGAAACAATTAGGTGTGACCACAAATGGAATGTTGAACTAGCTTGCTATAATCTAGCAAGCTTTCCCTAAAAATTTAATTAAAAAGAGTTTAGTTTGTCATATCTCACCTAAGAAGCGCATCAACTTCTCTACAGTTTAGTAGGACATAAAGTTCAGCCGCCTTCATCTCTTGAGTAGTTAGACAGCGTGTCTGTGAATGTGAACCCATTGGATGACCAAGGCATGCAAATATCGAGAATTCTGTGTTCCTATAAAGTGGAACTGCTGCAAAGTTCCTTGGGGGCTTACTCCAACTTGTTTCAACATCCGCACCAAAATATCGAGAGCAAAAATCTGTTATTTCATTGAGAATGTATGCTTCAACAATGAATGCCTCAACATGATTCTTGTTCCCTATTGTTTGTTTAAGTTTGTGCATTTGTCTGTAAAATTTAAAATAAGCTATAAGCATAACAAATTGTTATATATTCTGTTGTACATGAAACTATTGTGAGCTTGTTTGCATTACCGTTCAAATGGGTACATCCATCGAAATTGTACAAGCCCACTCATCCGCGCCTCGAAAGGAAGATGGATTGCTAGGTGCTCCATACAATCAAAAAATGATGGCGGGAAGATTCTTTCCAACTTACATATTATTTCAACTATCTTTGTTTCCCAAACTGCCATGTCTTTTATGTTGACATTTGGGGAACACAGTGCACGGAAAAAATTACTTACTTCTGTTAATAGACCCCATATAGAATCCAGCAACAAGCCACGAAAAGCAATTGGAATGAGGCGCTGCATGAATATGTGGCAATCGTGACTCTTCAATCCAACTAAGCGTAACTCAGTTAAGTTCACACAACGTGCGATGTTAGATGCAAAACCATCTGGAAATCGCACATGTTTGAGCCACGTACATCGACATCTTTTTTTATCCGTGTTAAGTGCATAACTTGCATTTGGCTTGCAAAGCGACCCAGAACGATCATAGTACAAGTGTAGTGCTTCCCTATCACAGTACAATGGTAAGTCCATTCTTGACTTAACATTATCTTTTGAGGACAAGTCATCCATGACTGTGTGTATGATGTTGTCAAAGAAATTCTTCTCACAGTGCATGACATCAAGATTGTGTCTGATCAAGTTATCCTCCCAGTATGGGAGTTCCCAGAAGATACTCTGTTTCACCCAATTGTGTGTTTCACCGAACTCGAAAATTGTTTGGTTTACTGATGGATTTCCAAATAAAACATCAGGCACTCGAAGTCGAATAGAATGACCATCTAATCGTGGAGAAGGGGGGCCAAATTCAAAGCGGCTCTTAAGGAAATGAGTTGTATCCATTCTGTACGAGTGTGATGCAGGAAGAAACTGTCGATGGCAGTCAAAGAATGAGATCTTGCGACCATTTTGCAAGTAAAAAGCACGAGTCATTTCCATGCAATATGGACAAGACAGACGGCCATGCGTGCTCCATCCAGAAACCATACCATAGCTGGGGAAATCCGTTATGGTCCACATAAGCATGACTCGCATTGTGAAGTTCTGTTTACGGAAGCTATCAAATGTTTCTACCCTTGACGACCATAACCGTTTAAGGTCATCAATAAGTGGACGGAGGAAAACATCAATGTTTTTTCCTGGACTCTTTGGCCCAGAAATAACAAGTGTCAGGAATGTAAATTCAGGTCGCATGCACATCTTAGGAGGAAGATTGTAAACAACAATTAAAACAGGCCAACAGAAATATGACTTGGAAGAGTGACCCCATGGGTTAAACCCGTCTGTTGCAAGACCAACCTGGACATTTCGCGGATCAGCTGCAAATGAAGGATGAACAGCATCAAAGTGCTTCCAAGCATTAGATTGAGCTGGATGAATGAGGATCTCTTAGTCAACACAACATTTAAGGTGCCATGTCATATGCTCAACTGTTTTACGAGACATGTACAGCCTCTGTAGGCGTGGAATAATGGGTAGATACCACAAAGAATTCCTCGGCCTATCCTTTTTTCCTGTTTGAGCCGAGTTGCGTCTTTTATACCTAGGTTCACCACAAACTGGACAAGCAGTAAGTGACTTAGCCTTATCACCATAATACAGAAAGCAGTTGTTGACACATGCATCAATTTTGACATAGCCTAAACCTAGGCTTTTCATGAATTTCTTTGCTTCATAAAAATTTGATGGTACTTTTTGCTGATCTTCCGGACTTAACAATTTCCTATAACCATGAATGATCTCATTGTAACCAACACCACTTATGTTGTTTTTGGCTTTGGTGTGCAGCATATATGATAACCAACCAAACAATGTTTGGTTATTAGATGCTGGTCCAAGCGGGATGGTTGAAGCACGCAACAAGTCATAAAAAGATTGTGCATTATTATTTGGCGCATCTCCAACATTTTCAGATGCAAACTCTGTTTCATTTCTATGGCGATCATTCTCAGATGGACAGAATGCATCATAAACCATGTGATGGAAATCATCCTCTGCATTACCATGTTCCTCAATATTACTTGAGGATGCCACATCACTTGCGGCAAACCATGGATCAACATTGTTATTCACTGCCCTATTGTGGTGAGGTAAATTTCCACATTTACTACATGGGCAGCGAATTTCGGCATTCGGGTGGACACCGGGACGACTATATACGAAATCAAAAAATTATTGTAATCCATTAAAGAATTCGCCATCATAATCTCCACGAGGATCTCGTCGTCTATACATCTAACGACGATCATCTGTCATCTTTAACTGAATAATACAATTAATATTTTAAGTAAATTAAATCATTATTAAAGTAATAATAGTAATTATATAAGTACAGGTAATAGATAAAGAAATGGGGAAAGTTGCAAACACTATTTTCAAACCGGACCGACTAGGTTGGTTCAATCGGTTGAATCAAAATCGGTTCTAAAAATGAGTCGGTTGATGATATTGACCAGGTTTGAGGTCAAACCAGGTCAAAACCGATCAAACCAGATCAGACCTAACCTAACCAAACCGATGAAACCCATACAACTCGGTCAACTCAATCAACCGGGTCAAAACTTTTTTTTACATTTTCAATTATATATGTGTTTTTGTTTAATTTTTATTTTATATGTTGCTAA